CCTACCTAAACATTGTTTTTTACATGAAGTGAGCGAAATAATTTCAGTTTCAGTCGTTTTAAGTACAATAAATTACTTGAAAGTAATGTAAAAAATACATCCATGGACGTCCTGTTTAAATTTCAATGACATCAAAATGTATACTAATGAACTCAAAGCAAAAACTAGTTCATACAAAAAACAGCGTTCATAGAAAAAGAAAGAAACAAAACATTGCATTGGCTTGCCATCNTGGGTCTATAAGTATTATACGAAAGTTCGTATTGTTGATTTGTAGCCGTACATTTACAGAATTCTAAATTAAAACGAAAGGTGACGGGGGTTTGGAATTTGTCGCAAGCTGGAGTGTAATAAAGAGTTTATTGTTATGGCAGTGATTTGTTAGATTCAATTAAAAAATGTTATGCAAAAAACAATGCGACTGTGTTTACAGTAAGCAGTTTCGTTTCTCCACGCGTTTAGATTACGTCTATTACGTAGGTACCTAATAAAGCATTATTTTTTTACTTATGTAAAATTATTATCGCGCATAAGCGAGCGAAATAATTTGAGTTTCAGTAGTTTTGAATTCAATAAATTACTTGAAAGTAGGGAAAATATACATCCATGAAAGTCACATTCAAATTGCAATGACATCAGAATGTACACTAATGAACTCAAAGCAAAAACTAGTTCAGCGTTCATAGAAAAAGAAAGCAAAACATTGCATTGGCGTGCCATCTAAGGAAGACTATGTTGATGCAATAAATTTAAATGATATACGACCAAACTTTATTCAATTACTGCCATAAACTAGCGCGGAGGAAAGTCAGAAAAACTTTGAAAAACACATAAAACTACTAAAAACTATGGCTGACACAACGCGATTAAAAACAGAGCGGTTGTGAAAAACGTTTTCTACCAAACTTCCCTCTATTTCTCTCGCACAGCCAAAAACGCTGTTGACTGAAAGAGAAGGATGTAGGATGTAGTTTTCCAGAATAGACACCCTGTATTAAACCATTTTACAGCTTTAAACTAAGTTTTAATAACGTTACGCGGTCTGACCGAAGTTTTGAAGTGTTTCTTTTCACTCTGCCTTTTCTGAGTTAGGTATTACTTGGCAAGATAACTTCTGTTTCAAACTCCACTACAGGTCGGCGCAATGCGGTCGCGTGGTGTTTCTACTTTTGGAAGAATTAATTTTTTTGGCGACACTTCTTTTTAGTTTATACAGGGCGTTGAGTTAAATCCTTGGCATGTGGAAAGTGAATTTTCCATACGAGTTTGGATAAATCAAAAACGATTCAGTGCATTTTAGATAAAAACAAACAAGTTTTAAGAGAAAAAACTTATCAAGGCATCTAACCCGCGTTGATTTGAAGACATACTTATCTTCCAGTTATATGTTTTTCGGTATTTATGAGTAGGTATCCTGCTTATATTTAGTTTTCAGGTATCCTACATTTACAAACAGTCGCATCTTAGACAGGGTCGCTCTTCTACTGTAGATGAAATGACCTGAGGATGATGAAATTGATTTTCAGATAAAATTCAGTATGTTATTTCCAAAAATAAAAATCTATTTAAAATACCTCAAAAACACATTGCAATAGTCCTTAAAAATCTCTCACTTGCATTTTAACACCAAATTAGAATAAACGCCGACTATCTAAAGCCTGTGGGACCGCGGCGTCGCAATGCGGTCGTATGGAATGCCCACTCTTACCCGGATTACATTTTTTATCCGGGCCCGGAAGGCCCGGGCACGTGCGACGAAGGGCGGGCGCATACTGAGCGGTTTTAGAGCGTTTCACCTGCCACAATTTCACCTAGCATTCTTACAGCTGCTCCATTAAAATGCACACTCGAAACTACTGGCTGAAAATAATGAATGTAGGATTGTAGGTACACTAAAGGACGTCGCACATTTATCAACCCGGAAAGGGATCGTAACTGTATCAATTCGAGGCGGTCAGTATTCTTTGTTTGAAACTCCATAATGCAACGCACACATCGTAACGTTTACCGATTGACAGCGCGCAAAAGGCGATGACAGCTCGCGAAGTGTTGACCCCTTTTTGAGTTGATAAGTCGCTATGACCTTTCATTGGCCTAAATTTTAAGTAACAAAAGACCATCAATAGGTAATTTGATTTTAGAATGAAATGTCAAATACATAAGCAATTATTTTTATTTGCAAAATAAGGTTTCTTTTGTAATCGGCCTGTCCTGACAGATTAAATTATGAGCAAGATACGGCTTTCTCAGAAACGCTACTGTTTGTCCTTAATTAATTCTCAAAGAACTTAAGTATCTAGAGGCAAATGATACCTCTAGCTCTACCTGCATTTACCTAGGTTATAATTATAGGTAAAATTTAAATAAAAAGTTTTTACATGCAATAATTGTCCAGTTAACTTTAAAAGGACAATTAATTAGCTACTTCTGATTTTTCGCAATGATTATAATTAATACTAGCTAGTCGTGTGATAGCTCTATGTTTCAAAAATCTTAATCATTGTTTTCCTATTTTATACCAGAAAAATAACTTTTTTCTAACTAGGTAGGTACTTAAATGTACTTTTTGTAGACGAAAACATTCCGCTATACGAGACAAAATGCATTTTCTTAATAACGAACCAATTTTTTACAAAAATAGCTATCATTAAGCGATACGGTCGTCGCATACGCCAAAGCAAAAATTACCCCCTTGGCAATTCAGCGCTGAAATCAACAGTAATGGTATGCTAAGCAGCTGGAAGCGCTTGTTAGGGCACGACACTCGCGAGACTCGTTCTGTTTTTAAAAAGTTCTTTTGAATTTGAATTTCGAAGCTATTTGATTGGAGAGGTGAATGATGCGTGACGTCAGGTACTCGCTTATGATTGGCTAATATATTAAGCAGGGGAACGTAAGGGCGACACCGAAAAGTTTCTAAAATAATTAATAATAAAAAACAAAAGTATTTCCTCCGTTCAACAATTCGGTTGAAAAATGAAAAAAGTTTCAAACTTCAAATCGTCCATAGATTTATTCGAACAATGTCAAAACAAAAGGGATCCATCAAACTAGAGATCAGAGTGAGCTTGGTTTTAGAATAACTGAAATAGGCTTTGCCACTTGGCCATTTTTTAAATCGGATCTCTGTTAGGGATATGTACGAGGGCTGTCACAAAAGTTGATATTGTGTTAACATTTTGAGAGCATGAAGTTGTAAATGGACTATTCTTATGGTAGATGTAGAGATAAACTGTATTTTGCATTTTCCTATAACTCCACATACTTTGACAACGTTTAAAAAACTTCAATCTCCACACTGAAGCTTCGATCAGCTGTGCATTTGGTTCGTTTGGGACAACCCTCGCAAAACTGTGCACGAACGAATTGGAAAACACACAAAAACAAAAAATTGTGTTTCAGTTCCAAAATGGATTACATTCTACGAATATCGGAGTAGAACTAGCAAAAAATACTTGGGACGCTTCGCGTATTCGATATTGAAAAACTATAAAGGACCTTTTCATTTTGCAATCGCCATAACGATCGGACTTGGTGAAACTTTGCAAATCCAACGCAAAATTAAAGGTTGGTACGAATCAGACTCGCCTTGTCGAGATTCGAAACAAACACGAAACTGGTTCTGGACTTTACCTTAACACTTTAAGGTTGATTGTCGAGTAAACCAATAAAGTTTAACCTATCTGTGTAATGATTCACGAAACATCGGTTTTGTGTGTTTCGCCGTTTAACGCGTTATCATTAAGTTGATGCTGAATGATGCTCCGAGTTCATTACGAACTAAACTTCTCGAAAGGTTAATAACAGTAAAATGGAGTTAATGCTTTTTAAAATAAGCGGCGAGCTTCATTGTTGGCAGTGCTGTATTATTTCCTTGAAGCTGAATGCTTTTGTGGAGGAAGTTTACTGACAGATTGTTGCTCAAATAATAAGGAGGGGGTGATAAAAAGGGAGAGTTTGACAGCTTTATTTTTACATCAGTATCAGCATTGTTGTTTCAAAGATGACACGACTTTTTGAAGTTTGTAAAATATCAAAATTGTTATAATACAATAAAACAATTTCTCAATCTCGAATTATTTTTTTGAGACGGAGTAGCCTAAAAAGTTTGGATATTTTAAAAATTGTAAAATATAATCCATATATTAGGCAAGGTCATAAACCATACAGTCTAGTATTCCCCCGCAAAAATTGACAGTGCTATCATTACAGACTAAAAAGCCTAAGCCTAGAATTCCCGCGCAAAAGTTGACAGTACTATCATTACAGATTAAAAAGCCTACCTCATACCATAAAGGCGTTGCACTAGTTCGAAAAAAAACACACGACTCTCCATCACTTATGCATGGTGAAAACCATACAACCTAGTATTTCCGTGTAAAGGCTGTCAGCTACATTAGACAAACGTAACAGTTGTGATTCTGAAATCGTTTCGCCCATCGCTATTTTGTATTTACTAACTTATTTTGTATTTACTTCTTGAAGCGATTTCGAAAGTAAAACTGCCATGTTTTGTAACTAGAGGGGCTAGCTGACGTCGCAGATTAAGACCTAAAACAAACAGGCAAAGACATGCCGTTTTTCGCGGCCATCGCCATGTAATTTCCACCAAAACGGAGAGGAGAAACGAGAAGAGATGTGTTTGGAATAGCCATCAGCTTTGGGAACGAAGCTGAGCTGAGAGGAGATGTGGAAATAACGAAACTCACACAAATGACATTCTGCCACGACACTTCATCACATAAACAAGGTCAAAACCATACAGCCTAGTATTCCCGTGTAATAAAAATTGACAGTTTCCCTAGACAAGCGTGACAGTTGTAATTCCGGAACTGTTTTATCCCGTCGCTATTTTGCATGTACTTATATTGCTTCGTGAAGCGATTTCAAAAGTAAAACTGCCATGTTTTGTAACTAGAGGGGCTAGCTGACGTCGCAGATTAAGACCTCACCCCATGCTATATTGTTAGTTATAAAAAAACAAACAGGCAAAGACATACCATTTTTCGCGGCCATCGCCATGTAAGTCGCCGCGAGCAGCGCCGCGGTCAGCAGCAGCCGGCCGAGCGGCAGCATCGTGGCGCGTCACTCGACCATCACACGACACACTCACACAGTTGACATTCTGCCACGACACGCCACTTCACTGCACCGTCCGGGACATAGTAGGTGGATGCTGGCAGTCAATCTGGAAGAAAAGAAAAAATTGTAAGGATTTTTTGTTTTTCTACACGAGTATTAGTGGCCAGGATTTTTCAAAATAAAATTAAGCAAGACCTTTTTTAAAATACACTTTTTACGTGCATTTTTATTTTTTAATGTGATTATTTATGCAAAAATTACGCTTAACCGGTGCAAACCTATTTTCTTTTTTTTTATTAGCACAAAAGGCTTAACAGTATACAAATTTATTTAAAAACAACTGTTTATAAACATGTCAGTAAACATAAATGGGAACAGACTAAATTCAGATTTAATAAGTAAATTTTCATCATTTATTTTCATGTTAAAAAGTACGAAAATATATTCAAATTTTCATCCATACCGTAAACGTATTAACGAAATTTCATTTCAGGCGACGCTAAGAGAGCCAGGTAAGTATATTATTAAATAAAGTGAAATATCATTTTCTACAATTGCTATAAATATCTTACGTAAAATAACTTCACTTCTGCGCGATAATGTATGGCAATTTATCTCAGGTATAAGTAGTCTATTGCCTGATTAACCTCATGTCATAATTAGGCATAAAATATCAATAGAGTTCTTTTTTAATCTGACTAGTATTTAAGCCACTCTATCATAGCATATTATTAATTAAATTGATGAACAAAAAAATTTTATTTAAAAAGAACTTAAGTCATTTCATTTCTTAAATAATTTTATGTCAACCTTTTCTTTACAATACGCACCCAACAGGATATTTCGAAAAACAATTTCCCCGCGCAATTCTCGCCTGCCAGTTATTAGTCACAACATTATCGAAATCCATCGACAAGCTGACGGAACACAACGAGGCTTGTCGTCGTCAGACTTCAAATTTCAAGTTTCAATTTTAGAACGCGTACGTGCAACGGTTGCTACGTCAAATGAAATGTGGTTCGTGCCAGAACTGCAATTTCGAATTTTGAACCTCCGATTGTAGCAGTGTATTGCCAGCCATCGCCGTCTCGAAATTATTTCTATTTCGCCCGAAGGAACGCTGGGGATTGGTGTGTCAATGAGTATCTAGAAGTTGTAAAGTTCGAATTTCTGGTCTGATAGCGTGTTCTGATTTCGAAGTTTCGAAATTTGAATCTGATAATTCTAGAATCTAGATGATTTTTTGTTTATTTTTACCTTGAAGAAGTTTTTAAAGTTTCCCCTTACTTCTTCTTCTTCTTATCGTATCGACAACAAACCTACACAGTGTCAGCCCAAAACTCCCCTCACTAATAAAAGTTATAAAGTGTGTTTTTGTATGAAGTTTGATATACTTTTGACGTTTGTTATAAAGTTAAAGTAAGATGGTGCAACCCAGCCTTAGTATGGGAATGTCATTTAAACTACTGTTCAACAAGCGTGTAACTTTTTGTGGGTTAGGGAGATAGACTATGTAGGTATGTGCTCTTATTTATATCGAGAAATAGCTGATTTTATTGTTAGAACGTCTTACAAAAGCTCAAAATCTATTTCAGAAGACAGGAAAAATCAGATTTATTGAGAAAAGCTTGTCTGAATAACAAAAGCAGTACTTATTCTTATTTTGGTAATATTCCCGGTAATCAAACAAAAGTACGAAGATTTCTTTCGTAAAAACACCCAAATTACACGTTCTTAGTATTTGTTGCAGCACTCATTCCCGATATGGGCTCGTTAATAGCCATCATAACGGCACCACAGTGTACTTATAAGTGGTATTCTTATTTTAATAAGCAGTCTACGATGACAAAATAAATTGGTTACAAGGCGGGGTATGTATGGTGTAATATCATGTGAGATTACGACAATACACTATCAGACTTTGTCAGCCACCATTTAGCATGGAGAAATTGAACCAACGATGTGAAGAATTGCATATCTGTCAAAAAAAAATATCAGTCAGATTAAAACAAACCATTTTACTAAACTAGGAACAAACACCTACAACAAAGTCATTTGAGGGCGTCGAACAACTGTACAGTCAAGGGCAGAAAATATAGAGTAATCGAATCATTGGAGGAGGCCTTCAGCAGGCTCAAATTGTCTTAAAAAATGGTAGAGTAATGCCCGTTTTTACCATGAATCCCTAATTTTTAAGTGACCCCTATGGTAACACATAACAAGAATTTTGATTTCATAGGGGTCACTTAAAAATTAGGGATTGATAGTGAAAACGGACGTATAGTTTCTCTATGAGGCGAATGGAAAGAGATTGGACTCACAGATAAAGTTTACTCTTACTCTTCCATTTTCCACTGTGCCGGAACCCTGTTAATGAATCGCGAGGTCGGGCTTTATGATCCAGTAAATTATGGCGGCCATTAACCATAATTCGGGCGTGCAGGTAAGACGAAGCGATTGCCGTGGACTTGACCCACACCAGTGTTGGGAATCACTCTCTTTTTGTAGGAAAAAAATAAATAACACCGCCTATTACTTACTTGGTCATAGAACATCAATAATAACAATCTTAATAATATTTTTAGGCTGAGTTGCACCACCTTATTTTAACCGTAATATTAATCGGTGCTTTTTATATGGAATTTGACAGATTTTGACGTTTGTCAAAGTTAAAGTAAGATGTGGAATTCAGCCACAATGAAGGCTACTGACAACACCACTCTTGTAGCGGAGTTTTAGGCTGACACTGTGTAGGTTTGTTTTCGACACGACAAAGGTAGTAGTAAATAGTATGCTAATATTCACAACGTGTATATTATGTGCCCTGTGTGCTCATGAGTTTACGTTAGGTGTGCTCACTAGCGAATACGTCAAAAAAATCTATGAAGATCAAAAGAAAGTCATTTATTACGCAGTCGCTAGCGAGCACACCTAACGTAAACTCATGGTAAGCACACTGAAAATGGCACTGACTAAAATTTTGAGTAAATATTTATCGGTATCCTTCAAAGTAGAGCACATACTCCACATGTTACTCATGCGTAGGTATATCTACCGCAGAATCGAGAAACCTAAAACAGACCAAAGTGGCCTGACTGGTCTGGTACCGGGTAATTAGGTAACTTAATTAAAACGTGTCAGTAAAACTTTCATCCTCCAACAAAAACTTACTAATTAGCTTATTTCTAAAAATTCATCGTTCATCAAATTAAAATATTTTCGCATTAACCCTTAAGCGTTACTCGTGCCGTCAAATAGCTCCGTCTCAAAGGCTTAATTGAAACGAATAAAAAATATCATTGTTAGATGCCCATCCCGAAATTGTGGATTTCCAAATTCAAATAAAACGAACGAAATTAATTTTGTAAATGTTGTCAAATGGAGCGTAGCTAATGCAATTACGTCAGATAAGCGACAAAGTGTACGGATGCCTTCAAACGAAAAAGCGTACTTATTTATCATTATGACATTTAGAGACGTCATTAAGAGCAGCCTTCTGTGAATAAACATAAATACATAGTCGTTCTTCATTTTTGTAAATATTTTCTCACGTTGGCCTTTTCAGTTTGCTCGTACAAAATTGCGAGAAACTATATCTGTCTCTCAAAAATAAACTTTCCTAGAAAGTCTAAATCCACATTTATTTTTAATTATCTTTGGTAATAAACTACCAGACTGAAAAAAATCAAAATATATCACGAAACTCTTATAGATTACCTACATGCCTCTTTTCATTGATGCTTAGGTCAGTGTTATGACTAGACAGAATATGAATCGCTGCTCAAGATAAAAACTGAAAATATAAGACACTTTTATAGCGTCAGGACTTTTTTCCAAAACAAACAGAATGAACGATGACCTAAATTAAACGTCTATCACCCACCCCGTTGATGCCAAACCCTAAAGTTCGCAATCGGCAAAATATCCGACTCATTACCCAAAATCACTGAAAAAATTAGATTTTTTGATCTGCTTTACTGGAAATTGCCAAATGCTCTGTCGTCTAAGCAATAAGGCTTAAATTGCCGTGTAATCATTTAAAGTCGTCACCATCTGCAAAATTGTTGGGAGGAACGGAATTGTTCGTTCACGGTTCGTTTATTGGGAACTAGCTTTCCGCCCGCGGCTTCGCCCGCGTGGAATTTTGTCTGTCACAGAAAAACTTTATCGCGCGCGTCCCTGTTTCCAAAACCGGGATAAAAACTATCCTATGTTCTTTCCCGGGACTCAAACTATCTCTATGCCAAATTTCATCAAAATCGGTTGCGAGGTTTAAGCGGGAAAGCGTAACAGACAGACAGACAGACAGACAGACAGACAGACAGACAGACAGACAGACAGACAAAGTTACTTTCGCATTTATAATATTAGTTGGGATATTGGACCATTGTTTGCTGAGATTCATTTGGTAGAGGTCACTGTTGTATACGCAGTAGCAGCTGGAACCAATTAGAAACTGATATTATCAAATATAGACTGTAGAGTGAATGGACAAGTCTACTTGTGTCTGATGCACAAGAAATAATATCAAACAACACGAAAATATAGACGTTATTTTAAGATACACAGTCCACTTAAGGTTGGTTTTCTTTATTATTTCGTTGAATGAACCATTAATATATCTACAAATGAACGTGAATGAGTGAACTCAAAACGTTTTGAAGGAAAGGAAGGAAGAGAAGCACAAGATTTTTCCTCATGAATGGGGATATACTCGTTAATATTTTGTCTGAAACATGAAATTCACAAATTAATCGTGAAACAAACTGAAATGTTTCATTTCATACGCGTAGTAGAATAAGTAGTACTTTTAAGAGTAAAAGATTTTTCAAAGAAAAGTCAAACAGGGTGTTCACATTTTTGCATCACAATGTTTTCAAGCTCACTTTGAACTAAATTGGATTCTGATCAACGCTTGATAAATATTTATTCAAAGAGTTAATTTAAAATATCCGCACAAACAGATCTAAACAGTATCAAATTATTATCTACTCTGCATATAAAGTAAAACCTTTCAAATACGTGTTTCAAAACATTAAA